TAATTAGTCCAGTATTTTAAAATGAAATGTATATTCAATCTTTACTGTGAGTTCTTTCAACACAATGTTAATCATCTGTTACATAAAAGTATTTGCTATTTTAAAAGAAGAGTGGAGCCCATTTAAGGCTAGATTTACTTGCTCCGCGTGCACAGACTGAAAATTTAAAAAGAAATGCCAATCAGTTCTCACCCAATACTTACAAAATATTTAGAAGTTCCCAGTGTCTTTCTACTGTGTGTGTGTTTGTGTGTGTGTGTGTGTGTGTGTGTGTGCGCATGAGAGAAAGAGAGAGAGAGAGAATTTTTGCAACGTTACCCACAAAAGTATGATAATGATTAAAATAGGAATGTTTTCCAATTGGTTACAAATGTTCTTACTTTCATCTTTAAAAAAATGATGAGAGGTCTTTCATTTAAAAAAAATCATTTTTGCAATATGTATTAAAATGCAACATGCATTTCAGATTAATATATTTTGATTTATTTCACTTAATTTTGCTCTGGGCCCTCATAAAAACTACAATTTAAAAACAATGCACAACTATGCTTGTGTCCTTATACAGAAACTAGTTACAGAAAATAAAGGCTAATTAGCAAAACAATAGGTTTGTTATGGGTAATTGTTACCAGAAGCTTCATTTTTCACCTTAGGTTACTGAAAAGAATGCTAGTGAATGAATACAGTTTTCTTTAACACAATATCATGCTGGCATTAATCTGAATACTTTGGAATAAGATTTCTGCATATTGTGTCTTTCCCAATACTTTATGGAAAACCAGAGGCTCAGACACTATGCAAGTTAAATTTAACCAGCTAACTAGAATAGACTATGTTCAAGAACTACTCTGTGATCCAGCAAAAATATGTTTTGTTTCTACTGAAAAAGATGCATGAATCAAATAAGTTTAGTAACAGATTCTGTCACTTTACTCATGGTGGGAAGCACCTTTCTCCACTGAAATCAATGGGACAACTGTGGAAAAAGGTATTACTCAATGTGCACAAACTAGTGCTTACTGACTTATAAGCATTTCAGTAGCATTCACAAGGATGGTATCTGAGTTCCTCCTCTGGAAGTCCTCTCATCAAGTTGCAAAAGAAGTCTAGATGAGAAGACTAACTGAAGTCTGAATGAGTAGTGCAGTACGAATAAGATATGCATTTAAATTATAATTGCTGATGTGATGCCAAAATACATGACCAAATTCTGAGAATGCCCATAAGCATAATTACATAGAATATTGCAACTTCCTCATAAAGCAGCAATTCTGCTGGTTAATTGTGTGATGACATTCTGCACTCCAAAGCCTGTTTCAATAGCTCACTTAAAAAGATCAAGTGACCTTTATGACACAGGTTTCTTCAAGCAATATTGTTCAGTTCTGGAATAAATAGTGCAGTGAAGGGAAATTCTTGCATGAAATGTGTTTCAAATCATCCTTTTCTTGTTGGAAATGTGGAAGTATTTACTTTAATAATAGATTGTAAACAGACATGTGACTTCATCTAATGCAAAAATAAATATCTTTGCTCTTTGGTAATAAGACAACCTTACTATAAAAAAAGAAATACACAGAACCCTCATATGAACAGTAACAAACTAATCTCATCTCAGTGAGACCTGTGCCAAACAGATACTTAATTGAAAATATATAATGTTCACCAGTTTCTGTTCCTGATTTAATAGTTGGACAGTTCTGATACATTTTTCATGTATCCTAAAGTTTGAGACCAATGGTTTGCAAAGTAATAGCTTAAATTACACAGTGCAGATGATGTCATCCATCATTGCTAATTGTTAATGACAAATCTCTTGCTGTGTGCATTTTAGAATGATACTAATATTAATTATTAAGAGGAAAAATGTCCAATTCAATATATTATATATTCCCAACCTATTTCTTTCTATTTATACTTCACTCTTATTCTTTTATTGCTAGTAAACTTAGTTTACATATTGAATGCAGAAATATATTATACATATATCAATAAAACATGTGCATGTATAATCTCCCTAAAGATATGAATGTGTGGGTAGGGTGTGTATGTGTATCTACCCACAGCTATATTTAAAATATAAATACAGCACATACATATTTAAACAAAGGGGAAAATCACTAATTGTTCTCAATTTTGGGGTATTAGCATTGCAGAGGAAGTTCCATTTCAATTTACAGATAAGTTGCAGAAACAGGCAAAGAAAAAGCCCTCCACATGCTGGCTGAATAAACATTTGATAGACAAGAGATTGTTGGAACTGAACCGAGATTGGTTTATTATGAAACTGTTCAGTCATATAGCCTGTTAATATCTATCTGTTGCAATTTCCTAAAAACTGCAACACTGCATGCCTATCAAAGGTGAAAATGTCTTTTTGTTTGCTTGTTTGTTTTCCTACAAAGCACCATGTACATATATGGCACTCCATAAATAAGAACATAATTTTCATGAGCCCTGCATGCTGTGTTGTTGCAACATAAAAAATATTGAAGTGCTTCAGTGTTATGACCCCTTCATGCTATATTTAATGGTTAGAACTAATCATGTGTTGCATTTCTTAAAGAATCACTACAATATTTGATAGAACACAATATCTTTTTTTAAGGATAAATTGTTTAGGTAAGTTTGGGGAACTTTCAAGTATTTTTTTTTTCAAATCTGAAATGATAAACTCAATTCATTTTTATTTTACAGGACCTACTGGCAACAATGAAGCTCTGGATTTTTATGTTATGTTCAGTTGTGGTTGCCTCGGATTTACTACAATCTCAGACTTCTTTGTCTTCAGCGAGAGGATCTTGTGAAAATCTGTGTTCTTGTGAAGAAAAGGATGATATCTTGATTATAAACTGTGAAGAAAGAGGTATCAAAATGTTATCACAAATAAATGTCCCACCATCACAGCCTTTCCATCTTAATCTGCTGAACAATGGCTTGACCACGTTACACATGAATGATTTTGCTGGCCTCATCAATGCTATCTCACTACATGTTGGATTTAATAATATTGCAGATATTGAACCTGGAGCTTTTAATGGTCTCAGTCTTCTTAAGCAACTTCATATCAATCACAATTCATTAGAAATACTTAAAGAGGATACTTTTCAGGGTCTTGAAAATCTGGAGTTTCTTCAAGCAGACAACAATTTCATCACCGTGATTGAAGCAAGTGCCTTTAGCAAACTCAACAGACTTAAAGTGCTTATTTTAAATGACAATGCCATTGAGTTTCTCCCTTCTAACATATTTCGCTTTGTGCCGTTGACCCACTTAGATCTTCGTGGAAACCAGTTACAGACACTGCCATATGTTGGCTTTTTAGAGCATATTGGTCGAATACTGGACCTTCAGCTGGAAGACAACAAATGGGCCTGTAATTGTGACTTACTGCAGCTGAAGATATGGCTTGAAAACATGCCTCCCCAGTCTATAATAGGTGATGTTGTGTGCAACAGCCCTCCAGTTATCAAAGGCAGCATCCTAAGAAGATTAAAAAAAGAATTGCTCTGTCCCACTCACCCTATAAATGAACTTGAAGATCCTTCAGGGTCCTTGCCCTTGGTAGTAACCACCTCTATAAGTGATAGCCACCTACCAGCCAAGGTGATCCCTGTCCTGAAAGCTCCTACCAAGGAACCAGGTTTAGTGCTTCATGCCACAAAGCCAGCTACTCAGCTTCCAGGAATATACTGTCCTGTACCCTGTCACTGCACCAGCCATATCCTGTCAGGAGTTCTAATTCACTGCCAGGAGCGAAATATTGAAAGCTTGTCTGATTTAGGTCCCCCTCCTCCAAACCCTAGAAAGCTTATTCTAGCTGGAAACATTATTCAAACATTGCTGAAATCAGATCTGGTGGACTATGCTAGCCTGGAAATGCTTCACTTGGGAAACAATCGTATTGAAATCCTTGAAGAAGGATCATTTATGAATCTAACGAGATTGCAGAAGCTATATCTAAATGGCAATCATCTTACGAAGTTAAGTCAGAGTCTCTTCCTTGGTCTTCAGCACCTTGAGTATTTGTATCTTGAATACAATGCCATCAAGGAAGTTTTGCCAGGGACATTTAACATGATGCCAAAACTTAAGGTGTTATATTTAAACAACAACCTTCTTCAAACTTTACCACCCCATGTTTTCTCAGGGGTGCCACTAGCCAGGCTAAACCTTAAAACAAACCAGTTTACCCATTTGCCTGTGAGCACTGTCTTGGATGAACTGGATTTGTTGGTACAAATTGAACTTGAGGACAACCCTTGGGACTGTACTTGTGATTCAGTTGGGCTGCAGCAATGGATACAAAAGTTGAGTAAGAACATCATGATGGGTGACATTTTCTGTAAATCCCCAGGGCACCTAGCAAAAAAAGAATTGAAATCTCTGAACAGTGAAGTCTTATGCCCAGGACTAATAAATAGCCCAGCCCTGCCAACCCATGCTAGTTTTATAGTTGTGACAACTTCTTCTACAACCACCAATACTGCAGACACTATTCTTCGATCACTTACAGATGCTGTCCCACTTTCTGTTTTAATCCTAGGGCTCCTAATTGTGTTTATTACGATTGTATTTTGTGCAGCAGGAATAGTTGTCCTTGTTCTGCATCGGCGGAGAAGACACAAAAAGAAACAGGCAGATGAACACATGAGGGACAGTAGCCCAGTTCATCTCCAGTACAGCATGTATGGTCACAAAACAACACACCACACAACTGAGCGTCCAGCACCAACTCTCTATGAGCAACGCATGATCAGTCCCATGGTTCAAGTTTATCGAAGTCCATCCTTCAGCCCCAAACAGACAGAACAACAGGAGGAAGGAAATGAAAAGGATATGAATGACTCCAGACATCTCCGCAGAAATCTTCTGGAAAGAGAGAACAATTCTCCTCTCACAGGTTCAAATGTCAAATACAAATGTACAGACCAATCAGCTGAATTTCTGACCTTTCAGGATGCCAGCTCCTTATACAGAAACATTCTTGAGAAAGAAAGAGAACTCCAGCAGCTAGGGATCACTGAGTATCTAAGGAAAAATATTGTCCAGCTCCAGCCTGACATGGAAGTACATTATCCTGGAACACATGAGGAGCTAAAGTTAATGGAGACATTAATGTACTCCAGACCAAGAAAGGTTTTGCTTGAGCAGACTAAAAATGAGTATTTTGAGCTCAAAGCTAACTTACATGCTGAGCCTGACTACCTGGAAGTCCTGGAACAGCAAACATAAAATGATATGACTTTGGACTGGGACAGAAAATCTGTAATTCTATATTAAGTCAGAACATTGTAAATAAAAGTGCCTTATAATAATGTATCATCCATCAGGACTAAAGCACAGCAGTAATCCTAACAAAAAACTCAGGGATCACTGTGGGAAGCCATGCGGAAGTTTGCAGGCAATATGTCTTACCCCAATTGAAAGATGATCTCTGTGTGATTGAACTGTGGGAGGAAGACTGCCATATTCCTTGGGGGTGGTGGGGTGTTAAAAGGTCTGTATGGCACTCCCCATTCTGTACCTAACCTAGGATAAACCTTTTATGTTATTTGTATTTCTTTCTTTTCTCTCAATTTAATTGGACTACATTTTTAAGTACATGATTATATAGTTATAAAGGTTAATATGTATTGGTTAGGTATTAGTACATGCACTACATATGTGAACATTGTCTACAACTGCACTTACCATACCCTTATAATAAATACAAAAGGAAATGAAGCTTTGTAATATTAAATGTCAGTTAAAAAGAAAAAAAAAGAAAAAAAGATATTTAATTGTATAGGCATCCAGTGCCTGCAAACATTTAAGTATCTTTTACGTGGGACTTAATTTATCACATTATTACAGTATGTGGATGGAAAATATATGTATAAAGATAATTACCAACACTTTAAAAGATATCAACAAAGCTTTCTGCTACTTTCCCTATCTGACAGTTTTACTCAAATTTGGACAATCTTCTCTTGTTCTGCTGCTATAAAATGTTGTGCATCACTGGTGTTTCAACTCATAAGCCAGGGCAATTCTGAAAGCTACTGAGAATCAGCTGTAAATACATTAGTGCACCAAATGAGTTTGATTTCTTTTATATGACTGGCTCCTGTGGCGGCTTTGAATATTCCTGGCTGAAATACAGAAATAAGTACACTATGGCCAGTAACTTCCAGATATGGGGGGGGGGGGGAGAATATTTTGTTGTTGTTTGTATCAATTCTCTACATTTTGCTACACATTAACAACAAAAAGACACTTCTCCTGTTAAGAGGTAAAAGTGGCTTAGAGTGTGGAGCCCTGCAGCTTTATTTTACAACAAAGTCTAGCTAGATTTATATTAACTATTTATTCTGTACAGTTTTGTATTCTTTTTCAGTTCACAACAAGAAATAATTCTTGGGTGCCTTTCAAGCAAATCAAAACTGCTCACTATAAACAAAAATGGAAATAAAGCTTTTTTTTTAAAAAAAATGTCATTTTCTTAAAAGTCTTTTTTAAAAAAGAGCAAGACAGCAAGACCTGCATGCACAAGTTTAGATCTGTTCAGGAGTCAAACACGAAGCTTCTCTCTGTTGTCATGTGGACAGAAGCATCTTGTTCACTGTGCAATAAGGCCATTCAGTTTCTGTGCACGGCTGACACAGTGCCAAACTGAAAATCTGACTTGCATTTCTCCTCCTTTTTAAAGAAATCTTTTGTAAATCAACTACACATGAATATTTTTTTTCTGATTTCCAATTGCACAGCTATTGAAAGGCTGAATCAATTAATAGATTTCTAAATATATAGATTAAAACTAACAACTGTAGACTTGATAAATTCAGAGCCAAATAAATAAATACATAAATAAAAAAGATTCCCTTCCTTTAATTTAGCCTACTGCAGTTTTCTTGCCTAGCTGTGAGTTCTCCACATTTCTTATATATGAGTTTCTGAAGGAACACAATATCCGATAGAAAACTATATTTTCTTGGCTCTTAAGTTTGCATAGTGCTATTGACTTCAGTGGTACTATACAGATTTACACAAGGCGAGGATCTGGCCTGTATCCTTTCTGTTATCTGATCAAACTTCCGTAACAACATTTTGTTGATATCATCACGTTGCCATGACAGTAAAACTAGTTGGCTCCCAAGAATCAAACTGCAGTAGCCAGACAATAAGTGCTGTTTGCTCTGGCTATGACTAAAACCTATCATAGTTTAGGTTCATCCACAGTGCGTTCTAGGAGAGTGAGGAACAGTGATTGGTTAGACTACAGCTACAGTCATATTATCATCATTTCACTCAAAAGAAATCATTATAGAAAACTGACAACTAAATTCTGTCACAAAATATATTGTAGTAAGAGTTACTGATAGCTGTAATAATATCATTAAGGGTCTGATTAAAAATCTAATGAACTTTATGGAATTGACTTTTGTGGACTTTGGATCAGGGCCTAGATATATAGTACTCTATTAAAAAATAAGTTTGAATAGGTGGATTAGTTCCCTCACACTCATATTTTTCCATCAACCCTCCGGACTATCAGAGATTTCAAAGTCAGAGCAGGGGTGAGGGGAGGGGAGGGAAAGAAGCAATAAGGAACAAATTGGGCCTAATTCTTCTCTGCCCTTGTATGGTCATTTACACCAGTGCAACGTGGGTGTATAATGCTGCCTTCTGATTGCTATGGTGCAGAGCAGTGGAGAATCGGACCCTCAGGCTTCTGTTTGAGGGAAATGCTTTCAGACTACAGACAAGTGCCACATGCATAGATGACACTTTATTTAGCTGCTAAAGATTTCTTAGCAGAATGTGGAGGACAACTATGCTGGAAAATAGGCTCTTTCACTGTAGACTGAAAGCATCAGAAAAATGTTGAGTACAATTTATGTCATGGCAACTCAGATGCTCAGTTGTGTCAGTGCTCCGCTCACCACAGCTGGGGGGAGGGGAACTTTAGACTAACTTTGATCTTCCTTCCTGCCTAGGTCTGCTGGGGGCTAGTTCAATCCCTGCATAAATTAGGGCAGCCTCACAGATGCGCTCATTTAGAGAGGTGTGTAATGGCCCCACGTAGCTGTTGTAGCATCCAAGGATCACTGGAGTAAAGCATATGTCATCCACAACCCTTCCTGATTAAAAACAAATAAATAAATACAAAACTAGCTAGAAAAAAATGATAGGTGAAAAACCTGTGCCTGAAGATTCTCTGGAATGTTTCCATCACAGCAATCAGAAATGCATCTCTTCTGGGGAATTGGATGGGGTCTGATGGAGTGTCCTCTTGTTGTGGCATGTTCTCCTCCACACGAGGCAGGCAAAGTTAAATGGTTTATGTATGTTTCACTGAGACAACACGTTGGAGGCTAGAAAGTGCAGCATATCTGACAGTCTGAAACAAAGTGGATTCATTTTTTCTCATGTCAGTTCTGTAGTTAATAATTGAGTGCAAGAACAGTACATCTGCAGACATATTGGTGCAGTTGGCAGGTATATAAGTGTTATGTTGTTAGGGCACCTCAAGGCACCTGACACTGTTATTTTTTTTCTGACAGTTGGGCACACAAAATGTATTAAATAACAAGAGGGGCCTGTTCTCTCAAGAACCACAGCTTACATCAGTCTCTTGCAGATACTTATTTTAATCTGCCTCTTATCTTTTAACATACATAAAAATCAAATTCATGTTTTCTTCCCTTTTCTTCCTACTACAGGTGTCCTGACAGCCTCTTAAATAATGGCACACGCATATATTACCTACAATGATGTCCCTGCAAGCTTCTGAACAGAAAAGACTCAACCATAAAATTACTGTTAGTCTAGTGGCTCATTGAATATGTGACTGATCAAATATTTTCAATCCATTCTTCTCTTTTAACGTGGTTGCTTGACCTTTTTTGTAAGGGATTTCCAAACTGAATATGAGTTCACACTTTTTACAGGAATGTATCCAAGCCACAAGTTCCAGACCTGAAACCAAGCTTTCCCCAAGATCAGCGGTGTTTGGTATGATAGCAATCTGAGGATTTGGCAAGGCCTACCTCTACATGAAATAAAAGCCAAAAATTGATCCTTCCATAACAGCAGGTGTTGTGTGACACCTACCTAGAGATCTGTTACCTGGGAAGAATGAGAAAATGAAGAGATGAGGCTGACTGGGAAGGCCAAACATCCGTGCCAGAGGACTTTATGGTATATGAATGGAGAGAGGCATTTCCTACAGAGAAAACTAATGTTTCACAGGGGAAAATAATAGTGAAATGAGGAAAATTAATCACAATGCACTTTCTCATGCACACCAACATGACGTGCTAGTCTTGTAGAGATGCTAAACGCACCATGGTCGGGTGGAGAAACATTTGCCTTCAAGATGATGCGATAGAATGTGACATTCTCTAAAGAGGCATCACTTTTTTATTTCCCCTTTTGTTGTCCCAGTATACAGGAATTTGCAGAGTTTGGAGAGGCTCCACGAGGTTTGTACATTCCTTGCAGGTCTGTGAGGGCTCACTGTGTGGTTCCATCAGGGTGGACTAGGGGCAGAGAAGAGGGATCAGCTACTGAGGCTGTGTGCTGCTTCAAAGGATTTGTCCCTTAATGGTGCTCTAGGTTTGTGATACTCTTGATCATGCCCCAGTAACAGATGTTAAATCCTTCTTGCTCTGAATCAGAAATTGACGATAACATTAGCTACCCACTGGAATCAATACTGGGAAGTTAATTGCCATATTGAAAAGATACAGCATGACATTCTCTTTCCTGCTCATCTGCTAACAGTCAGCCTTGGCTTTTTAACATAACAGAGCAATTTCTGAAACAGCCACAACTTGATAGAAACCAGTTAACCTCAAGAACAAGAAAGGAATGAAAACATCATATATTGTTCAGGTTCTTGATGGTATGATGTGATGGACAATTGCTCTTTAGTTGAATA